CAAGCCACATTCATGACATAGTCACACCATTCAACACAGCCAAACCGAAGTTCAGTCAAGCTGGGAAAGAGTCAGGCAGAGCTATCTAAAGATAGCACCACCGATTCGGCAGAAGGCATGGATGAGAAAACAGTTAAGTGGCACCCCCAATCGACGTGACTGGATAGGGAGAGGTGAATGAATAAAAGCAGACAAACAGAAGGTAGGCCTTACTTGCAATGGGTGAGGCTAACAACCACAATCTACAACCAAACTACTCCAAAGCACAAATACGAATGTCTTGTAACCAATTATCCCACACCACTTTAGATAACTGCAGAAGCCATCGAGGAGGTAAAGATTTTTCAGCGTCAAAGCCATCTCCACTGAGACGAGGAGGTAACACTAGACAAAAAATACTACCGTACATGCTACAAGGACAAAGACTTCAAAAGAACAAAGTGATAAATAACATCGTAGAATTCACACCGCAAAAAACATAATGTAACAAGGAGGAGCTGGGTAGGTACTGCTCCAGCTACCTGAAAAATGATGCAATCAGTACAACATGTTGAAACTTGGAAAGATCATCAGTCTATCCCAAGTGTGTTTTGTATTGTAAGAACTAAGGACTCCATTAAAACTCAACAAACATGAGCTGGTCCAAATAACAACATAGGTTATCTCCTTAAATACAAAGTTCAATTCCGCCAATTGAACGCAAAACCTGCAAGTAGACAATAGATAGGAAGCCGAAGACGTTTTACGGAAAAGGGCTCGTAAGCGACTGTGATGAATAGCTCGAAGTGCTAGCATCGTGAGATAACGAGCAAGGGACAAAATGAGACACAAACTAGGAGACAAGTCCTCAAATATACGACAGTCCTAACCACCAGGATACTTAACAAACCCAGATAACTGCCCAGCAGAAAGAACTATCATGGACACAGATGCTCACCACCGAGGCGCAATGAAGGCAAGAATGAGGAAAGTACTTAGAACAAAGAGTAAAGAATCCATCCTCCTCAGCCATACCGGCCTCCTTATATAGTATTCTTCCTGCCAAAAGTCATGTAACCCAAAGTCATCACGTGCACAAAACCAAATCATAACAAACTAGTCATATGACCAAAGTGGTCACATGCTCGAAACCCATGACCTCATAGTAATATCATATGCGAAATCCCATAAATCAATCATAACATAATAAACAAGTCATATGATCCTAAGTGGTCACATGCGCGAAACCCATGACCTCATAATAAGGTCATGTGTGGAACATGAATCATATGTGCAAGGCATACCTACAAGGCATACTTGTAAGGCATACTCACCAGGTGCATGTCCCATGACTCATAATCAAGTTATGTGCAAAACATAATAAATTATAATATAACAAGTCATATGACCTAAATGAGTCATATGCGTGAAACAATAACATACCTGTGACCCATAATCATGAGTCTTGTGAAAACCTTTTCCGTGCCAAGCCACATTTGTGATAGTATCAACAATATTTAATATTGAAAAGTAAAGAGAAAAGAGATTGTTACCAGCAAATAAATCTCTTATCTATATTTTAAAATTATAAATGAGAACTTACTAAAAAATATAGAATAATCAAAGCTCTAAAGTGTGAATGGGTCCTATATAGGTGATAATATATTATTTATTTAAATCTTACAATTTTTGACAGGCTAGATTCTATCAACACATTGCTGATTACTCAAAACTAAACATTAGTAGAACTTTGAATCTCTGTCAAGCTCTCTCAACCTCCTAAAAATCCAATATATAGGGGTATTTTGTTAATACTCCCACTCACTCTCATCTTATTACTACTGTACTATCAAGTACTCCTTACTGACAAATGCTACTCCTTAAGGTGACAGTAGTCTGTAGTATATAAGCTTGTCAGAAAACTTCTCAAAATGCATTTCAGATAGCAGAATACACACAGAAAATATATTTTAAAAAATATTTCCTATATAAAAGCAAAAAAGGACTTCACCTATCATTTGCAATAGCATATCAGGTATAGGCAAAGAAGGATTAGCATCTGTTAATTACACTAACTAGTATTATATCTAGCTCCCTAGCCATTCAAGTCATGTTTAAGTAACACAGTACCTTGTAGAAAAGAATGAGAATAACTGCCTTCTTTTCAAGTTTTCAAAAATGAAAATATGATTATAGTATAAGGTAGGATATTTAGAGTGAAGAAATGTAACCTGGTCCTCTGGAATAAAAACAATTATAAAACAAGAATTAATAATTCAATCATGTTCTTATTTTAGTACTCTAATCCATTTAGTAGTGGAAGAGCCAAGAGGTAGAATATATTTTCTGACTAATTGAGGATAATACATTATTTTATCAAGTGCAATATATATAGTAAATCAGAAATAGGTATGATATTCTCAAATTTGACTGACCCCCATTCTCTTCCAACCATAATCTAATTGAGATCATTCAATATATCTTGAAATATATAGCTAAACAAGCAGTACCCATAACTTGAAGGTTTAAATATAATGATGGAGGCAATACAAGAAAAATAGTAACTGATTTTGAAGGTCTATCTTTTGACTTTTATAAATTCAATGCCTAAGTAAATTGTGGTTATTATTGCAGTATTAGAAGGCTACACCTGCTGGTTAATTCTTAATTTTTATATTTATATTTATATTTATTTTTATTTTTTAATTCTTTTACATAGAAGTGATTTAAAAAATATTTACTTTTTTGATTAATTCTCCTGTTTTTTTATAATATTATTTACACTAACTACCTTTACTATTTATAGGAGTAATCTAGTGTCCTTGGCACTGGAATTTCAGCTCCTAAGACCCCCCTGTTTCCAGTCCGTACATGCCAGGGACCTGCATTGCACTTTTTTTATGCTAAAGGAATCCTAGTGAGGGAAAAAAAAAACGGTCATAATAGACTAGGCTCAAGCATAATCAAACAGTAGCCATTCTCGAGCACTCTATCAGTAGTCTACTAGTTTGTTGTAGCGTTCGAGCATGGGGTCGTCTCAATCAGGTCATGTTCGAGTATAACACCCCCCACCCATAATCTACTTTAGCATGCTCCTGTCCATCGCTGCTTTGTCACAAGTTCCCGTAGGTATGCTAGCCACTTTTCCACTTAATAGCTTTTCAGCTTGGCTGTTAGCTTTTGGGTAGATGGAGCCGAGACTTGCTAATTATGGTGCTGCGTTGTCTGTAGGACTAGATGCAGTAGCGGATCAAATATGGAGGTATGAGGTAACCAAGTCGGGGTGGCAAGCCGATGGGCTTGCGGACAGATCGAATAGAGACCGAGATATAGAGATCGGTTAGAGGGAGGGGAGATGTGGAAGGATGGATACGTGACAGAAAGGAATCCAATGCATAGCATGCTGTACTTATTCCGGTCTGCCAGCTTAAGTTACTAACCACAGTTAAAGGTTTGAGATTCAAACCCGATCTCCTCCTCTCTAGCCTGATACAATTAAAGCATTGCTTGTATATACGCTCTCATATATCACTTCCCACATCAAAGCGCCTTCTGTCTTTGAGCCCACCTCCTTTCATCCTCACAACTTCTCACTCGTGGTATTTCCCCCTGCTATCCAGATTTGCATTCAACCTCCTTCATCTTGGAATTTGTGTATTAATTCAGTTAGTGTAGTCAGGTTTGGGGAGAGAACTCTTCTTCATTGTTTCCATGGAGATAAGCATCTCAGAAACGTATATATATGTAACCTCTCACCTTTCTTGTCTCCTAGATATATGAGGGCCTCAACATATGACAAACAAATACAACTAGGTACAAAACGAACATGAAAATGAATGACTATATGAAGAGCCAAGTTATGGGTTAGCCAAAGGGCCATGTTACCCCACACCACCAATGATAACCCCTTGCTTTTCTTCCCCCCCCCACCTTTTGTTCTTCATTTTGTATAGCCATCTACAGATCTTCTACCTTTACATTTTCTTCCTTTACATTTTCTTCCTTACATTTTCTTCCCCGGGCCCGCAATTACCCTTTGAGTGCTGACACAGGGGGAGGAAGCACTCGGACGCCAGCCAACCGGCAGTAGGAGCGCTAGCCATTAGCGGGATGACAGCCAATGCATCTATCCTCCGTGGCTTACTACTCAAGCCGACGACCACACTGTTTAGCTTGCACGTTTGGCGGGTCTTGTGTTTCCTTGTTTCTCAAACCCAAATTTGATACAGAACAATTGCCGGTGTGCTCGACCGCAGTAGGAGTGCACTTCCCATAGCTGCTTTTATCCCACGAGGAGGCCGTCCCAAGGCTTCAAAGTTAAGTCGCTGCCTTTGATTATATGCTTTTTGTACGTACTACTAGTAGTGTACACGTACTCGAGTATATTGTGATGTTGAACCTCGTCCAGGCCGTCCTGAATAGGAAGGTCCAAGGTAAAAAAGCGAGGTCTAGAAAATTAGAGATGAGGAGCTTGTTGTTAGGGTTGGTTTCTCCTTCTGGTAAAAATATACACAACATGAATGTTAGCTCTGTTTAATTTGTGAATTAAATTTTTGATATTTTTCCCCTCTGATATTTATATACAAATACAGCTATGGGAGGATCAGATTGTGGAACTCGGAATGTTTTTGTTTTATTTTTAACTTTAATCATCGGCCTTGTGGATATTCCAGACTGCTGTGATGCTTACTTTAATTTACTTTTGAGATCCTCGTGTCTCTTATATTTCAGACTAATCTCTGAGCACCTTGTATTCCACACCCTAAATTGACTTCAGAGCACAAGGACCGTTTATTCGAGTTTCTATAGTGAGTCGATCCACGGACTTAAGGATAAAATAGCGATAGTTCCCAAGCATGTTCCGTACTGTACCATGGATCTATCATAGCAAAAACACAAAAAATCGTACACATAGGTGGCTACGGTACAAGTACAGCTAGAGAATCGCGGGAATCCAGAGTTGTTTTCGTATATTTTCCTCCCCCCTTTTTTCAATTTTCACCATGTGCTAAGGTAACGGATGTACGTATCATACTTTGTATTCGTAAATACATGCAATCATTAATTTGCCTATCTGTTCCCTGTATGAAGAATGAAAATAAGATAAGAGGTAAAAAAAGGTATTATGCACCGTGAGCGCCTTGAATAAAAGGAAAAGAGAAGAAAAGAAATCTAAACTATTCATGTAGCAGAAAGAAAAGTAAAGCAAGACGTATGTAGTGTACCCAGACAAAGTATATACAATACTCAGGGAAGAGCCAAAGATAATTAAAAAATTGAAAAAAATGGAATAAATGAATCAATGAAAGAGAAATGTATCTGCAACACTCCAATTGGAATGCCCGACTTTTAAACTAGTTTCCATTGGCCGGGAGGTCAAGCAAATGACCCATCTGGGTAATCTACCCCCACCTGTCAGCATTCCTCCTCCCCGACATATATTACTAGACACATACCTTGGTCCTCAAATAGTCGCCCACCTCCTTCCCCGTAACACCACCCTTCAAATTCTGCCATGCAAGTGGAATCATAGGCACTCTCTCCACAACCCTAACCTCCTTCCCCGGCCCCTCCACAGCAGCAATCTTGTCCGGGTTATTTGTGAGAAGCCTAATATTGACCGACTCTAGATCCATCAATATAGCTGTGGCAAGACCATAACTCCTCGCATCAGCGGGATGTCGGAGTATGAGGTTCGCTTGGACCGTATCATTGCCTAGGTCCTGGAGGTTGTATGCCTTTAACTTCTCCCCGAGGCCGATGCCACGTCCTTCCTGGCGGAGGTAAACTACTACTCCACCAGCCGGATCCAAGGACATGAGGCGAGCAGCCTCATCTAGTTGCTCGCCGCAATCACAGCGAGCGGACCATGCGATTTCACCGGTATAGCATTCCGAGTGGATGCGAACGAGGGGGGCAGTGCGGGTGCCGCTTCCTGGGGTGGTTAATTGGGTGGTGGGAGCCATGTTGGAGAGAGATGTTGAGGAAGCTGCGCGACTAGGAACTTGGGAGGACATTGGGGAGTCATCGGCATGGGAGGAAGTACGGCCTGGGAAGAGCCTACCTGTGTAGGCGCCTCTGATCATACGGTCCATTTCGGTCTCCCCCTCGCGTGGGGCGTCGAGCGATCTAGAGCGGATCCTATTCCCGAATACAATGGCCAGGTGCTCTTTATTATCAATGTTATTCTGGTACAGGTGGAGAAATATTTCGGTTCCCGTGGTGCTGGGAGGATAATTTGTTAGTGCGTTTTTTTCCCGTAATAGGCGGATTGTGAGGTCGGGTAATCACGTCGGAATCCTAGCTCTAACCATGCAGTTGACCTTGGGCAGCTCTTCCATCAGCATTGGTGGGCTTGTGTTCTCTGCCAGTCCCATGAGTGGAGTACTAGGAGTTGTGGGAGGCGTAAATGCCGGACTAAGAATCGAAGGAGGAATCTGTCCCTCTTCACCTAGAAGCATTGCCGAGTCCGAGCGAGACCCGGGATTCACAGTCAGAAGTGTAGGCGAAGCATGAGCCGGTGGAGCAATGGTTTCCATCGATGGATCAATGCCAGAATTGGACCCAAGGTAGTAACCGTTTCCGATAACCTTTGGTTTGGGAGAGTATATAGACATAGAATCGGAACCGCCCTCTCTAGGGGACTCCCCCGAAACCAAGTCCGAGGACGGGGGGGTGTCGAGAGAACGAGTGGTTTCGGCAGTTGACATTTTGAGTGGCACCGTAAAAGAATTAGATACCGTATGTGGATGTGGATGGGCTCTGGATGAACTGCAGTATCATAAAACAATTGAGGCCAGGAACTAAGCGGGGAAATATTGAGAACCAAAGCGAACCCCCAAGTAGTCAGCTCAAATAAAACTTATTATTTGTTTGGTAACAAGGGAAGCTTCAGGGTAAGCGGAGAGGGGTGATGATGAGGGGGAAGATGGGGGAAGCTGGAAGAGCTCCGGGCGCAGAGTAATCGAGAGGTAAGGGTGAGTAAGCAGAACGAAAAGAGAGAGAAAAATGGCAATCTCACAAAATCGAAAGGGGCTTACGATATCCAATGTTTACGGTACCATACCGTAATCTACTGTAAACCCACGGTATGAGATGAACATCCGAAGCCCAGTTTTCTGATTCGCCCATGATGCCCGACGGGCGAAATGGATAATTTAATGATTCCCTGAAAAAGAACAAATGCACCAACCCCCACCACAGAGCCCAGTCTTACCCCACCTCGGGTCTATCCATCTCCATTCATCCAGGTGGGTGGTATCGGTAACATATTTTCTCCGCAAGTCCTGGTTGGTGAGAATCCTGTCTAATCCATTTCATTCACCCCATTGTTGCTTGAGCACACGCACGACATGATATTAGAGAATAGGAACTCGAGAATTACAAAATAGTCGTCTAATGCACCTCCCCTATCGGTAACATAGCCGTAATTCCATACAAGTCGAACGATTGATATTGTCATCCTCAGTATCAATGATTGGACCTTTTTCAACATTAATAACCGCACTTGACGAACCGGTATGTAGGATTCGAGTTATATTTGCAATAATACAGGTATCATTAGTAACCGGCATTGTGTCGGAGTGTATCCGGGGTGTGCAGCAGTGCATATTTACTTTGGGAGTTACCGGTAGGTTGCTCTCGGGGGGTCTCAACTTATGCTGGCAATAATATGTTCCCATGCTACAAACATTTGTTTGCCTTATCACCAGGAAGACATAGAACCCAAGTATGATAATAATTATCATAATATAATATAATTATGTATCATATACATATACCCTAATACTCCTAGCCCTAATCTACCACCCACAGAACAATCAGCAGGTAACCGTACTCATATCATATTCAGACCACTGCGCACCGATTCGAGACCGAAGCCAGTACTTGAGTACAATGAAAATCAACTTAATCCTATGGATAAAGGAGCAGGGCAAAACTTGTGCTCCACAATGCCAATGCCTTCCATACGTCATGATACTGTTACATGTCACTCAATGCCGCCTGGTGAGGACGAGTTAAAATGCCGGGGAGTTCCCTCTGGTGGGATTTGCAAGTGAAAAAGAAAAGGAAAGGAGAGGAACAGACAAGAAAAGAAAAGAAAAAAACTGCCGGTAATGTCCTCGAGTGGATCACCATAGTCCTGCGATCAGGCCTCCCAGTGCAACCGTGGTATTTTAGATTTGATTGTGCCTGAACCACTCGTGCAGTAAGATTGAGCTATTGCTGGTGAAGCACCCCTTTTGTGCTTTACTCGATTTACTCGTACCGGTACTGTGTGCAAGAGTATTATAAATCTCAACAAAAATGAACGCGAGTGACAAGGAAGTTGGGAGCAAATGAAATAATAAAATTAAAAACCAACTGGCCAACTGGCCAACATATGGTCAACATAATTGTAATTTTACGGTAGCAATTGTAGCATGGCTTGAGATGACTCGTCTCTCCCCCTTACTTCCAGTGGGTCACATAACTCGCTCAATTACCGGTGGCTAATCTACTCGAGTAATAGCCTCGGACTTTATAACGAATTCAAGAAAAGCCTTATGGCGAGAATGCCAACCGAACCAACTAACGGCCCCCCCGTGACTGCGTAACTCGTCCCGCCATATAATTGTCGACCACTCCTCTCTTTCCCTCGCCCCTCCCTTTCCACCCCTCCCCCCTTTATCATCCCTTTCCCTCCCTTCCCCGTCATTCATCCCCCTTCGTTTTCCACCTCTACTTTCTCTCTCTTGTGTCGGTGCCTTCGCACCGGCCGCACCCATCGCTCATCGTCCAACTCAATGTCTCCCACCCGTAAGAAACGTCGAAGATTGAAACCCGGCCGAAGAGAATGGATCAGAATCAACAGATCATCAACAATAAATTATTAGCTAATAGCTTAAAGTTGACCAACCAAGCGATCAAGAAAATTTGGTTCTCTGACGGATTTGAACCATCATTCGAAACCGGAGGCGGATTCCTGGCCTTGTGCGGGGTGTCTAGGGACTCGTCGCTGTTGATAAGAGCCTTGGGCTAGTCACCGTTGATAGAACTGCCCGGGGCTCGCACCCTATTAACCGCGCTTGTTCCTATTCAGAGGACTTGTCACTGCCGATAGCGTTCCACACAGGGCGTCGATCGGCGGCCGAGGTTTCCTAGGGGCTAGTCACTATTGACCACCGGATGGCCCGGCCCAACTTGTCTGTTTTTGAAACGGTTGAGCTTGGATTGACTTTAATTGTGTGGCCGTCTGAGATTTGCTCCATGCAGTATGAGTTATGGAGAGGGTGGAGCCTAGCAACTAAAGTTAAAAGAAGAAAACTCGGGTGACAGGGTCAATGGTCCGAAATGATTGGTAATACCCCACATTAGATTGTTCTCACCGCTGAGATTCTGACAATGGTCGTTGCTTATCAGCACCACTCTAACGAGCCTTTGCTAATTGCGGATTGGGCCGTCTGCCTGTTCAATGCCTCCTTTGTGTTCGTCCCATCCTCGGAGCGCGGCCCAATCCCATGTGCGTTCGCCCTGGACCTCTGCTGTTTGGCGAACGATAGAGTTCGGTCCCAATTACCGGGTGTGCAATTGCGACGCGAGGCCGGATTTCCTTGAGACCCAGACCACCAGGACTTCTCAGCATTCGGCTTCTCCCCCCCAGGTACGGGCTTTTCTGACCATGAATGGGCTCTTCCACCCCTGTATTAGGTCTTCCGAACCTGTATCGGCTTCTCCTGAATCGCACGGGGGTATGGACATGGCGTTCGACCACAGATCAGCTTATGAAGCCCTATGGAGGATATCAAGTTGATTTCTCCATTGAGGGGTTGTTGAACTGCTGAATTAGGTCCATTAGAACACCGATAGACTGGATGGGTGGTGCACTTGCTCCTGGAAACGGCGGACTGGATGGATTCTCCACGAGTCGTCGTGAATGGACCGCTGAACAAACCGCCGGCATGATCAGTATAAGAAAGAAGAAACTGGTTGTGGCTCGATGGATTATCTAAGTTAGTTCTCACTTAGTATGTACTACTATTTAAAATTAAGCTGACGACGTGATAAGACATTCAGAAACTTTTGACACTATTGGATAATCTTCAGGGCACTGTCAGTGACCTCTAAAAGCATAGCTATACCTACGACCAATTGTAAACGTTGTTTCAAAATCTCATATGGATAGACGTTACTCGGGCTGAGGAATTGTTTGAATTGGTGGAGCGGTCTTTACGGTTGAAAAACAGTAACGCCTTGTTAATGGCTGCGCGCTGGAAGCCTGAGATTCCGGATAGACCTAGGTGTCTTGAATAGGGTCTTGTGAGTACATCCTCCAAAGTTTTGATCATCCTGGGATCTCACATTGGCTAACAATCACAAAGGGTTCATTCTGTTTGACCGCTTTTCAATCTTCGACGTTTCTTACGGATGGAGGATGCATTGAATTGGCTGATGGAGGTGCGAAAGGAAGGGTAAATGGTTGATGTATTTTATAGCTGGCTTATAAGGTAGCTAAACTATTTTCCCGTTGACGAACTTTGGTTCCAGGAGCGAGCCCATCCCCCTGCCCTGACGGGCCTGCTGCACAAGCGCCGGTTTAGGTTGGGTAAGGATAATGTGAGTAGGTACGCTTGTGTTAAAGGAGTAAGCTACTGGCATCCAAGCTATCCGAATCTAAACATATCTTACCTCTAACCCCTCAGGACTCCTTCCCATACCCCAAGCTCTAGGCGAAGCCTTGGGTTTGAAGGTTGCCTATCATTAACTATGGGTTAAGGCCCCCAATACCACGGATTTTTATGCTTTTTCTCTCCTATATTACACCATCCCTCCAATACAACAATATTACAATCTACCAGGAAGGTAATTTTAATTCTAATTTTTAAAATATGGGACATGGTAAGGTATTCTCGATTGACTAGACATGTGATCTTATTCCATCAAGATACGGTTTTTTTAGACTTTTAAGCGCAATTGAAGGGCCGGTTGGAGAGACGTGGTAGGGTTTTCAAACTGTCCCAGATGCTTATAAAATTGAAATATATACTCCTGTTTTTGTTTTAAGTCCACTAGATTGATTGAGGTATAATCTTGGCGACAAAATTCCTCAGCACCTCACCCATTTTGCAGAGGCCATGGCTGATTTTTAAATACTCTCAACTTGCCTAAAAGCAATGGTAAAAAAATGAAATCAATTCCATAGTGTGGGCAATTACCCAGCTTGCTTGGAAAGAATTTATAAGAACTTGCATATATTACTGTCAGGATTCATAGCCAACGGGCCAGACTTGATATGGTTGTAATATATTAATTGTACATAAAGCTCAAATGAAATTACAAGTACCTTTTATCAAATCTCAAGATTTCATGTTCCGCAATGTTAATATTTACTAACAGAGCTGACTACATATAAATAATAACATTGAAATAATTCTTGAGATTTAAGAAAATCTTAGATTATTTTGTAAATAGTCTGAAATCTTAAGAAATAGGAGTGTGCATTTTTAATAAGAGTATGAAGAAAGTTTAAAGTTAAGATTGAGACTTATTTACTCTACTTACTCTTAGATATAATATAAAAGTAATAGCAGAAACTTAAGATATAGTTTATTTACTTTACTAATTAATTTATAATATTCTCATACTGATAATACTCTTGTAACTCACAATAGTTAAGCTAATCAAAGTAAATTTATTAGAAAACAATTTCTAAGAAATTATGGCCTTTAAGTTATAGTAAATGTTCATTAAATTAAAAATAACTCAAATATTCTGTTATCAATTTCATTAAGATATTACTTATAAAATCAGCATTAGAGGTTGAACCTTCATAATTGTTAGGCGGAAGCCAACTCTAGTATTCATTAAGAAGATTTAGGCTAAAATCTCTAATGTACTAGGTAGTGATTGTCTAGAAAGGTACAGTAATGTTTTTTTTGT